CCTTGATGACCTGGATGTTTTATGCCTTAAAACCCCAACAAACAAACAAACTTTCAATAAAGTATTTCTCTCTCCTAATGTGAAAATCAGCTGGATCTTCAAACATTTTCATAACATAGTTCTGACAACATGTTGGGGGTGGCGGTTACGCCAAACGCCCTAATATTTTTATAGGCCACTATTACCATCTGATTTTACTCATCTTCATTAAAAATTAATGTGAAAATCAGCTGGATACTCATAAATTTTCATAAAGTCGTTCTGACAACATGTTAGGGTTGTAGTTTACGCCAAATCCCCCAATTCTGAGAATTTTTGTAATATAATATTTGTAGGTTACGACAAAATGAAGCTACTCACGAAGTTTTAGGCGGATGTTAATTATTTCATGAAAATGGACCTGTACCACAGACTAATAGTTCTATATGTAAATTTCATCTCCAGGTAAAATAAAGTTACCTCTTCAGTACCATCCCCTCCTCTCTGTAGACAAGTCTTCTCCTGGCAAAACATAACCTTCAATCAACTTTAATTTACTTTTTAGAGTACATAAACAAACGAAAATTGAAGCTTTTTTGTTGTATCCATAATAAATAGACGATTTACCAAAGCTGCATGAAACATTTTTTATTTTTAAAAAAAGTTGAATATTCCAAAATAAAAATAAAATTAATTAAATTTCATTCATCTATTTTCTAATAAATAAAGAAGTAAATTTTTCAGGAATTTAGTAACCATCTGTTGAAAAAAAATCATTAAAAGTTAATAATAAATTGATGTAGCATTTATTTAAAAAATGTACTTTTAATTGCTCATCATCATGATGTTATAATAGAAATTATATTGAGACGACAATACATCTAAAATGATAAGAGAAACTACTAAAAAAGTTTAATTAATAATCAATTGATAAAAAAAAGTATTTCTTATTGTGGATGCTTGTTCAACTCTTTTAAATAAGTTCATCTAATTTCAGCAGTAAAGTTCTATTAACTGACCATTGGATACAACAGTCAGTTGATCAGACAAAATTATTTTGTCTAATATTTTTAATGTATCATTAAAACATGCTGATTTTGATTGAATTTGTTCTTAACCTATTCATTTAATGCAACGTAAAATTTTACTGAAAAAGCAAGATAAATAAGATGAGTGGGTATTTGATTCCATAAATGGAATATTTTTTGTGTGGTATCCATAAATCTTGTACTAAATGATTCATCATCCATGCTACACCAGCTAATGTTTATGCATCTATTAAGTTAAAGAAGAGCAATAAAAAACGAAAATAAATTTTCTTTGAGAGTCTTTAGTACAGGTTTTGTTAACGATTGCAGGAATTTTCAGGAAGGAATGAAAGTATTAATTTTCTTCTTTATTTTTAATTGGGAAAAAAATTGAAGTGAAAAATACCATGAATGAGGATCAGTTCTTGCTCCCATGTTGTGTTTACTTGAACCTAAATTGTGTTTATACTTGTAACAGCAGTTAGTCCCTAGTTACTTCATGATTTTTCTAAAAAGTAACAGCACTGGGTTAAGTTTTTTAGTTTTTGAAAATAATTTTCCTAACATTAAAATTATTAATTTTTTAAGAAAGATGAAAAATATAATTTTAGCCTTCAAACTCTAAAGATCTAATGAATTTTTTGTTAAAATACTTAACAAGTTTTAAATATCCATTTAATTTAAAGATATTGTCACTTCAGGTATCCAACTGAGTGAAAGCCCAAGTAGCATACATTCATAGACAACAAGAAATCATCTTTAGATATTTAAAGCTAATAATATATTTAAATGGGTAAGTGAAATAAAATTCAAATTAACACTGTTATATTATATCATTGAAAGATGCATTGAAGAAACTTAACATTATAATTATAACGTATATGTTCCAACAAATTGATTTATAAGATTTACAGTATGCGTTATATGTAGTTAAAAAATTGATTTGGATAACACTTTTTGGAAAATAATAGGCTATTTTCTACAATTTACTGAACATTTTTTTTTTAAGAAACATCAAGATTGATCATATAAAAAAAAAAAATCTAAATCAACATAACTCCTGTTGGTAGTACTAACAAAAAAAAATCTCTCACTGATCAAAATCATTAACATAAGTTATATTTTTATTTACATTAATAGATTTGAGAAGTATTGTTTTTGGAGACTAGCTTTATAGCCTTATAACTTATATAACTATAAGGGCTGATACTAATTTTCCATTCTAACTTTGCCCACACGTGTCAGAAAAATTAATTCTTTAGAACTCATGTAACAAACACATACCAAATTGTTATATCACTAGACTTAGTAAAGTTTATCTATCTTTTCACAGGGATATTGGGCTTATGGACATTAAGTTACTTGGTAAAAATGAAATTCATTATCATTCTATTAATACATAATATAACCCAAATTAGATATAAATCTTTAACAGTATATACCAACAGTGACAATACCTATGTTACATAATACTGTCTATTTTTAAGTTGTGCCTAAGTGAAATATAAGTATTTTTCAGAACTGATAACAAAAAGAAATAGAAAGAGAAAATTGTGAACAGCTTCTTTTATAATCATATAAATATACTGTATTCTAGCAACTTATAAGAACTTTATACATATCAATGGTATTGAGCTAAATAATTAAACTATAAAAAATTCAAAACTATATTATATCTGACAAATCAAGGATTTTTATGTATGGGAGAATTGAAACTTCTTAAAAATTAACGAGATAGTGAAGTGGTGAATATATTTGGGTTATAAGTTAAAGTGGCTACATTATCCTTAAAAGAAATGCTAAAAAATGATAACAATATATTAAAAGTTATTTATTTTGAAATTTACCTGATCATTATTAGTGATAATTATCGCAATCTCGCTCAAAAACCACATACATGCATATACACAAACATGCAAACATTAAGCAATATAAGCAAAAGAAATTAAAATATTTGAAAACATATTTCCTGAGAAACAAAATGATATTTTAACTATACACTTAAAAAATTATAGCCATTAAACAATAAATTTTATAAGAAACATAATAAAATATATAAATATAATATTTTTATTTAGGAGAATAATTACTACTTTTATCCAATAAAAAGTGATTAAGGGGTAAATATCACACAAACACACACACATACACACATTTATATTATAATTAATTTAAATAGAAACAAGATGAAGAATTAAAGGATACTTAAGATATAAATGATTAGGTTTCCAAACAAAAATATTAGTGGAACAATCAAGTTTGATCATAAATAATGTTGCTTTATAACTAAGTCCAATTATTTATTTTTGAAATGAATCCATCAGGGTAACATATTATTTTTTTTTAAATTTGTGACTGGGGGCCCATTTTAAAATTAGAAAAACACAAAAGTAGATTGATTAGCAACAATAAAATTGTAAATCTTATCCTCAATTTATAATTCACGTTATATTATAAAATTTGAGTATGTTGATGGTTTTAATAATTATTTCAATGATAAAAATTTTACTAATCGTGTTATATTATAATAAAATGTATAAAAGCCTAGTAAAAATTAAACTAAATGAGTTGATTAAAAGACATTATATGAAATTTTATTTTTGGATACAGGATTTGAGATAATAGTAATGTATAATAGATTCCTTAGCAAAGATAATATTTTCTTCCTGTTATTAAAGAAATGACCATGGTAATATCAGAGTAATTGAAAAAATATTGGTTTTTTTATACATACAGGGTGTCTTGTAAGTAGAGGAAATATTTATAGGAGTGATAGCAGACCTCAACTGCTACAAAAAAAGTTATGTAAACATAGGCCCAATTTTCAGCAGGAAAGTAGGAAATTTAAGTTTTGTGTTTAAGTAAATCATGTTCTCTCTCTCTCTCTAGATGATCAAGTTATATATTTTCATTACAACTTGATGTTATTAAAAAAGAAAAGATACAAGATAAAATTACCTATATAATGATGGCTTATCTCTAAAACCTTATAAGTATATAGGAAATAAATTTAACTTGTGAAGTTTTAGAAGTAAACCATCGCAATGTGGTTTCATGTAGTTAAATATAATTATTGAAGGATAATAATAATGTCATCCATTATACTAATGAATGTAAAAGTCCTAAAGTTACCTGTTTATATTTTAGTAAGGAACGGCAATTAATTTAAACTAAAGTATATCTTTACCATACAAATACCTTATGCATTAAATTATTCAATACAATCATGAATGAAAAAAAAAATTAACTTAAGTTATTAATATGAATTATGTTTATCCTAAAAACATTTAATTAAGGAATTCCTTTGATTATTTACATATAATACTGTTAGGACAAAACTACTTCGTGCAATTAAATCAATCTATTCACAAATTAAATATATAATCCTGATGTATTATGTCTCAAATATTTTGAAACCATTCAACACAAGAATATTCATAAATTTATAAAATATGTTTCTTTATTTTACATTCTACTTATTAGGGAGGAAGGAAAGGATTTTTTTTTCCAACTCATTATTTTAAAGCACTAACCTGCTTACATCATGAAATGATATTAATGATGAATTGTTTGGTAATTTTCATATTAGTTTAACAAATGAAGTAATACTTGAATGCCAAAAAGACTTAAATCTTATTTATAGTTGATGTTTATGATGTTACTATTTAAAAAGTTTATAATTCATTTTTCTGAATTACTATATAACACATGCATATAATTGAATAAAATATACTAAGAATTTTAAAGTTAAAATTGTCAGTATAATATGAATATATCTATAATTTTAAAAATATTATACTTTACCAGATATTTAAAAAATATATTATTTTTAAATTATAACTTTAAAACATGTAATGATTATATATTTCATAGATCTAAATATTTTTAATATCTTAACTTTTCACCCCCCAAAACATAGTCTGATTAAGATTAATAATATATGATAAAACTATAATTATCAATTTAACCAAATGCATTCAATTCTTTCATTACCTTTTCTCCGATCTGATCGAGGTTCAGGCCGTGGTGGTGGTGGAGGACCTCTAGCTCCAGGTCCGTGGCCTCGATCTCCTTGTCTGGTATTTCTCTTACCAGGCTCAGCTTCTGTCAGGAAGTTGGAAGGTACTAGTCCTCTTACTCCATCCAGCTCACCCATATAGAATCCATCATCATCCATTTCACCATAAACATAAATAACATTGCCAGTTTGGAAGGACAATTCCACCTGCAGTTAGTGCAAAAAGCAACTAGACCCTCAACATTATATGAAACTAAATAATGTTATTTTAATAAATTAAATGATGTAGAGATGGTTGACCGTTGATATGATATGAGAAGGAATTAGTCGAGGGTGCGGTCAAAAAAAAAAAAAAAAAAATTAAAATATATAAATAATTTTAATTTTTGCCGACGTTTCGACCCACTTTGCAGGTCGTCTTCTGAAACACTGGAGTGTTTCAACTGCCTCCCGCAGTGCCACATCCAACGCCCTGAAGACGACCTGCAAAGTGGGTCGAAACGTCGGCAAAAATTAAAATTATTTATATATTTTAATTTTTTTTTTTTTTTTGCCCGCACCCTCGACTAATTCCTTCTCATAATAAATTAAATATTGCTATATCATTATTTGAATATATGTATATAAATAATTTGATTTTGATTATTGTAATTCAATTAAGTATGTACTTGATAATGCAATTATTGTAATTATCAAGTAATTCATCTTATAACAATATTATCTATTTATCAACCATTGTAATATGAATGTTAATTATCCTCAAGTTGTTCTTAAATAATTACCATACAATTTAGCAATTCACCTCAGCATCTACATTTGGAGAAAGTTCTTGTGGATCATAATCATACATGGCAATCATTTTTTTTACAGGCATATTTGCATAAATATCTCCCCATCTGTCTCTATCACGGCTTCTATCTTTATTTACATTCTGTACACCTCCGTCCATGCCCTGGGAAATATAATTATATTTTATTAATATGTACAAATATCACAGGAAAACAAATTAAAACAAAAGCAAATAAATCGGTTCCCATCCTACATATTATAGAGCTTTCAATTTAAATCATCTATAAAATCCCATTCGACCTGATCTCGTCCTTCTAACTTCTACCCTCTTCCTCCCTGAACTTCGCCGCTTGAAAAGTCTTTCCTTGTCCGAGCTGCCTATATCCATCCGCCATGCTTCAATCAACACTTTCCTTGTTTAAAGTTCTCCTCTTCAACCACCTTTTCCTTTTACAGTCTAATTAATATTATGATATATTAAACTCACTTTTGCGAACATTAAATATTTCCCAGGATTCATTTTAATGCTATGTATCCACTTACTTATTACCATTGTCATTTTCATATTAGCTTATTCTATTTTCTTTCTGTTATTTACTTTCAAAGCAGTTTTATAGGATTAAGGTGCTAAGGAGAGGTAGTACCTTGAGCTAGGGAAGACCTAGAGACTGGTTCTCACTTAAAACCAGGGTAGTAGTCGAGTGGCATGAGAAACTGTAAGTTGAGACTTTAAGGACGCTACTGCCAAAACCATTCGTGCGCGGTGAAGAACCGCTCCTGCTCAAGGTGACTCTGCTTTCGACTGAACATGGCAGATCTAGACCGGGAAGTCGATAAATATCCCTGGTAGCAAGAAGTGATACTGGCATGGAGACGAGCATGGTAGAGGTCAGCTGGGTCCTGACCAGAAAATCAAGTGTGAGGTGCCTACAAATACTGCAGAAGTCGAAGATGTTGGCCGAAAGGTGCACATAGTCCACTGACATCTTTTATGATGGTCAAGAAAAATTGGACATCATGCATTACTTCCCAAAATGACTACAAACAGACAAAAAACTATGGAACAAGGTGTTTCTCTTGTGTTTTCTCGCAGAGCTCGAGAGTACACGGTCCCAATTGGAAGGGGCCGCTTCATGCAAATGGTCATAACCTCCCTCCCATGTTGTAGAGCCAGGACTGGGGACAATAGGAATATGGCTGGTATACAGACGCATTAATACGCATTCAGACGAATCAATACGCATCTTGCACTGGAATGCTGAAGAGCTGCTAAATAAAAAGATACCAATAACCAAAAAACTTCATGATAAAACCATTGATATCACCTGCATTCAGGAAACACCCCAGTCAGCAGCTATGGTTCAGCATCAGAGGAAACCAAGTTTTCAGGAAAGATAGAGTAGGACATTCAAAAGGAGGGATACTCACACTTGTTAAAAACTTACTCCCTGCTAAACAACTTCAGTGCATCCCTGAAAACCTGGAAGCTGAAATGGATGGCATTGCTGCCCAAGTTGGAGACAAACAATTAAAAAATTGTGAACTACTACTTTTTTTTCCATCCTAGCCATTTCTGGCATACGTGTTAAAACGAGTTTTCAACCACTACTGCCCCAGTCACAAATACTTGTCGCTGCATGCCATGATAATCCCAAAGATGACTGCCTGGTAATAGGGAACTTCAACTCTCACTCCCCATCCTGGGGATACGGACATTATGTGGAGAAGTGGAGGTCTGGCAGACCAGCTGCTCCTTGCACCTAATAAAATACTGCCATGATTACCCAATGGTCTATTCCAGAACCTGGAAAACCACCCTGGATTTCATCTTTGCAACCAACTTTGCAAATTAAAAAATCAAAGTGGGAGCAATACAGAACATTGACAGACAATTATACCGCCTTTGTAAATGTTACATCTAAAAAGCTTACTTCTTCTGCAAGGAACTTTACTGCAGCCAAAACAAAAACAGTGATTGAAAGCATGCCTAGGCTAGGGGATCTCTAAAGGCTTACAAACCTTACTGTACAGATGAGATAGGAAATCTTTAAAATGACTTAATGAGGTGCAGAAACGAAACTGAACAAAACTCCAGTGTTAAAGCAAACATAAAATTGAAGAAGGCTTCAGCAATGTTAAAGTATGAGATTTAGACTTCAAAGAAAAACAATTGGGCTAGGAAGATCAAAGAAATTGACATGGATAGAAGTGGCAATAAACTTTAGAAACTTACAAAATCACTTGGGGAGATCACTCTGCTCTTGACTCACTATTGAAAGAAACGGCAGACTGCTGTCTGGAAAACCCACTACTGACTTTCTTATGAAACAATTGAGTGGAATTGGAGACTTGCAGATCCACCCAACAAGGAAGATAACTTTAAAGAGGCAACTTAATAAGCACCTGAAGAATTATAAACAAACAGGGAGTATACTGGATGCACCTTTCAGTGAAACCGAGCTCACAAATGAGATTAAAACACTAAAATTGAAAAGCTCCCCAGGCCCTGATGGCATTATGAATGAACTAATAATAAACATTGGAGCTAAAGCAAAGAAATGCTTGCTGAAGCTATTTAATAACAGCTGGAAAGAAGGGGCTGTGATTCCAGTCCCAAAATCAGGAACACCGAAGAATGACCTGGATAGCTTTAGGCCAATCACGCTCCTGAGTAGCTTAGGCAAGTTTCTGGAGAGACTAGTTAATCATCCGGATCATATATTGGAAAAAAAATAGTCTTCTCATGCCAGAGCAAGCAGGGTTCCAAAAATTCAGATCCACGGAAGACCAAGTTGCGCATGTAGCACAGGAAATTGAAGGGGGATTTTAAGAGCAGGAGCACACTCTGGCTGTGGGGATGGACATGGAGAAGGCATTTGACAAGGTCTGGACAGAAGATCTACTCTTAAAACTTACAAATATGGGTATTACAGGAAAGGCCTTGATCTGGCTCAAAACTTATCTTCAGCAACAGAGAGGATTCACTTCAGGGGTTCAAAATGTAGAATCCACCCTACAAAGAACGGGGTCCCACAAGGTGGTGTTCTCTCGCCAACACACTTCTTGATTTATGTAAACGACATTAAAGAAGAAATGCCTAAATATTTAAAGCTAACAGTTTATACGGACAAGTTGGTGTAAATCCACCTCAATAATAGCTGCCAAAAATAGGATTTAAACTGCACTGGATGCACTCTTTTCATGGACAGAAAAATGAGCCCTCAAAATAAATACTAATAAGACTAACTACACGATCTTCAGTCTGTAAACAACTATCTCAGATACACTTAATCTGAAATTAGGTAACCAAGGATGACCTCCCAGTCTATCTAGGTGTAAAATTTTACAAAATACTCACTTGAAAGAGTCAAATAAACAGCGGTGTTGTTAAGGCAGTAAACCAAACAGCACAACTGAGAAAGCTGGCAGGGTCAAATTGGGAGGCTGAACACATTACTGTCAGCCTATACATTGGATACATAAAGCCTGTGATAGACTATGGAATCACAAGTTGGAGAGTGACCCGGTGCCGGAAGGGATTTAAAAATTCCCCGCCCTCACCCCCCGGCCCGGGAAAATCCCGTATAGCCTAAAAGGTGAGGTAGGGAAGAACAAAAAAAAAAAAAAAAAGATCCCTCAAACTTTCAAAAAATCAGTTATCCAGAACCAAGGGTTTTGAATTGTAACTAAAGGTCTAAAGTCCACCCCAATTAAGGCAATGGAAACACTTACTGGCTTACAAAAAATGGAAGATAGAAGAGACATGGAACTCCTTAATTGAAGAATGAAAGCAAGCTGTATTTCAAACCATCTCTTTAAAGAGAGAGTTAGAAAGTGAAACCACACTCGGATAAAATGTGGAAGTCTTCTACATATAACAAATCAACTAATCAATAAGTATCCCCAAAGCAATACTGAAGCTGAAACCGTGAAGCTTGCTGAAGACTACCAAACTTAAACACAACGGATCAGACCGAAAGTCAATGCAAAGATCCAACACATAACAAAAACAAAGAGACAGAAATAGGAAGCCAAAGTCTGCATTCTAGAGAACATCAACTTGGCCTATCCTAAAAATAAATAGACGAGGGTATACACAGATGGGTCTACCAAAAATGACATTACAAATGCAGGAGGCAGCATCCATATTGAATTTCCCAATGGACATGTTCTCTATCCCCACTGGACTGGTCTCAACAAACTATAGAGTCAAACATGACTCCATTTTGACTGCAGCCAAGATCTTAAAGAGTCTTACGAGGTGCCCACTCTCATGCATTGTATTTCTGACAGATGCAGAATCTGTTCTTGAATGCCTAAAAAATAAATGGCAGAGTGCACTAGGAGCATTAGCAGAGGAGCTGGAAAATCTAAGAGCGCAGTACAAAGAGATGGTTCTACAATGGATTTCGGGACACTGTAGGCAAGCAGGGAATGAAATCGCAGACTGATTGACTAAAGAAGGAACATTGCTTCCCCAAATTAGCAGCATCCCAAGATTGGAGGAATGCAAAACCATTAATAAAGTAGCCATAAGCCAGAGATTGAAAGCAAGTCACCAAAATCATAATCCTCATGACAATTATTTCAAGCTAACCAGAAGAGAAAAAGTTGCCATTTTTAGCCTTAGAACTCGATATAACTGCCTAAAATCACACCTCTTCGGAAAATTCAAGATAATACCCAGTCCCCTATGTGAATGCGGCCAAAGTGAATAAACCACAGAGCATGTTCTGCAGAACTGGATATAAGGAGGCAGATACGGCCCCAACTACACACCTTTAGACCAATATGTTCAGAAATCTGGAGGACCTAAGGAGGACCGATAATTTTATTTTTTTATTTTCTGACATAGCTATAGAAGGAAGAACTATGAAGAATAAGCAGCTATGTAATTTTAGTTAATGTAAAAATTTATTTTCATTTACTATTTTTCCTTTTATTTATATACATTTTTTTTTTTTTTTGTCGATAAGTCAGGCCACTACATAGTGCATTGTAAATTTATTCTTAAGAGACTTTGTCCCAGAATAATAAAGAAATTTTTCATTTCAAATATTTACTATAATTCTCACTCTTCAATTGTGACAGTTATTTTCAATTTGAAAACTATTTTTAATATTATTTGAAGTACTTCAGTGAAAGCAACAGAAATAAAAATAGTGAATTGGGTGAAGACAATTTCAAGGGACCCACAGATGATCATTCCTCTAAATTTATTAATAACATATAGTGATTCATACTCCTAAAGATCATTTTCAAAACTATTTCTAAATTACTATTCCAGTTACAAGCATAAATAAAACATCACTAAATATTATGAAAATTACATTAAGATTCATAAATCTATATTAACAGCGGAATTATCAACTTTCTTTTTTTGAATTGCATTATTAATTGATAATTATTGCCACACTATTTTTTTTTACATATAAAATGGAAAACACTGGTTAACACATATTTTATATTTACTAATATACTAATCAATATAACTCTTAAGAATTAATGAGATATAAATAGTGCCACGGCAATAGTAGTTTACTCATGAGTGATTTAATCACAACATTGAGTAATTTAATCTTTTAATATAATGTTAATAAAAAAATAAATTGGACAATACCTCAAGGATCCCACTTATTTATTGCTCAACTTTATCCTTATAAGTGAGTGCACTGAATAAAGGAAAGCAAGTTAAATATTATAATATATATTTATAACTTTATTTATTTTTAAAAAATTCATTTGTAACAAAAACTTTAGAGAAAAAATGTTTGCATATAATGCTGGAGCTTTGTTGGTCTTACAGACAATTAACTTGCAATTAAGGCAATTGGTGTTGAATTCAATGACCTACTTTCGGTGTAGAGTTGGCAGCCCCATTGCTTGGTCACTGTACTATAATTAGTCACTGGTCATCTATTTATAGTAAGTATCTATATTGACACTCACTAAGTACCCTATTAGAGCACATAAAACCCCAGTGCAAGGTGTGCGCATGACCGTATTAAGTACTAGAGGTGCACAGCTCATTACTGTACCCAACCTAACTATATAAACTGCCTCTTGCCATTTTCCACATTGCTCGACTATTCCTGGGGGAGTTGTACCAGAAATTACAGAGGTAAAATTAGAAATGACAATTTTCAGCTGATGGAATAGTACAGAAGACCCCAAAGTTCAAACAAACTACAATTAAAAGTTGTCAGTGTGTGACTGGATAGGGTTCTGTTTACGAGTACATCAAGGCCACTGAATTTCACACCTGTATATCAAGCAAGGAACAGTCTCCCCATAATGCATTTACTGAATCTGTAGTTAGAATTGAAGAGAGGGGAGAAAAGATTGCTATACTCAGACAAGCAGGTCTGTATTTTTGATATTCTAGCATTCTGGGCAGATAGACCTTAGTAGCCCACCTCCCTACTTTTTCAGCTCAAAATGTTATATGATGAGTCTTATAATTATCAGTTTTAGACATACACATGCATCCAAATATTATTGTATTTTAAAGACATATAGTCGCGGTCATAGAAATTGCATCACCCAATAAAATTTTTTTTATTTATCAGATTACTATCTGCAAGATCTCCAGATATTTTCTTCCCGATTTTGAAACAATATTCTAAAAATAATCGAATCATTACCAGTTCGGTTTTAGGCCTGGCAATTCTACTCATTCTGCCCTAATCCAAATTTCCCAAGACCTTCATACAGCC